TCGAGCCGGTTGTTTCGAACATTCTGATCAATTTCCGTAACACATTGGCGCTTGGTCGATACAAACGTCGTGCAGTAATAACCGATTTATTGTTTTCATAATACACTCGGACACAAAATGCACGCTGCGCTCCCGTGTACGGCTCCATGGCGACTAAATTTCCAGGCAACGGCGCGGCTAACAGCTTATCCCCACCCAACCCGCGCCCCGCGTTTCCGAGAAATTTAAGATTTAAATCGCCAACACTCTTATGGCCCACCCTGTAGTTCTACAGAGAGCGGCGTCAGACTGCTAGTACAGTGGTTTGTAGGAAACACTACGTAAAATCATTGTCGGATCCTGAGATACAGGATGTTTCAGTTTATTGTTGCATGACTTTAAGATTCGATAGAACTTTTAAAATTAATGCATCAAGTCTATATAAACATGGGTCGAAAAATGCGTGGCTTCCGAAATACAGGGTGTTTAAATTTACTTTTTAAAATAGTTTTTTTTAAATATTTCGAACAATATTTGATGTATAACAGTGAAAATTGGTATACAAGGATTTTTTGGTACGACAAAACGAACCATGGGCATAGTTTTACTGTAGCCGCTAGAGGGCGCTCTCTACTGTACCTGTAGTGTTATAAAATGACCGAACATTTTTTCTTAGTGCAATTTTTTGCTTTTTGAATAAAAAACTGATTCTTCGCACTTTTCTGCATTAAAAAGCTCTCCTGTGAGTTTTCGTTATAGTTAGCCATTTTTGAGATATTTCGATTTTTAAGGTACGATGCATTTTTAATTATTTATGGGAAAATAATATTTTTTTTTACATTTTCGATTTGGGCATTACAAGTAATTAAGATGATCGTTTAGATTATGTTTTTAAACACAGCAATAATTCCTAACTCCAAATAAACACAAAAAAACAGAATATTAATTTGTTTAATTTTCCAATATTATTTTTAACAAACTAAATTAATTATTTACAACTAAAATGCTATTGGATAGTTAGGACAAACATACAAAATCTAAAGTAGTTGCTCGAAATGTAAACCCAATTGTTCAATACACAATTCACATCTACGAATGATCGAACGTGGTATAGCCTTATTCAAATAAGGCCTTATTTCATCACATGCAGTCCTGATTCTGATACGGGAATCTGGTACACTTTTTCTTTTAGAAATCCCCACACAAAGAAATGTAATGGATTTAGGTCAGGGGATCGTGGCGGCCAGTCGACTGGTCCTCCACGGCCGATCCATCTTTCTGGATAATTTTCGTTCAGCCAGTTTCTAACTACTCTCAAATAATGAGCTGGACAACCATCAAGCTGGAACCAGGCCAATATTCTTAAATCTAACATAACATCATCCCACATATTTGCATGTTCAGCCTTTAAAAATTCCAAGAAGGTCGCAGCATTTAACCTTACAGGCAAAAGGTAGTGTCTAAATAGTCGATTACGGTAGATACCATTCCACACGTTCACACTAAATTCTTGCTGAAAATTTCTTTCCCGAACTGCATGCGGATTTTCATGCGACCAAATATGTTGATTATGAAAAATTACCACTCCACGTCTAGTGAGGCATGACTCGTCGCTCCATAAAACGTTACTTAAAAACTCCCTATTATTATCAGTTCTATCAAGAATCCACTGACAAAATGTGATTCTTCGTTCTCCGTCCCCTGGCTGTAGTCCTTGCACAGGTTGCAAATGGTAAGGACGTCTATGGTCATTACTAAGAACACGGTGAACATGGCTTGCTGAAATCCCCAAGGCACCAGAAACTCTCCTAACACTTGTGGTCGGATCTCTATGAAACTCACGCAGAATCATACGGGTAAATCTGCACTGACGAACATTTATGTTTTGATCCCTTTGGAGATTTCCAAAACCATTTTCAATTATTTGGCGATGCACTCTTACAAATACTGAGCGAGTTGGATGTCGTCTGTTTGGAAATCTTCGTGCGTATTCTCTGGCTGCTTCTGCTGCCATTTACAAATCCATACACAAAATGAATATCCGCTAACTCTTGAGTGGAGAATAAAAATGGCATTTTTATATAACTTACAAAAAAAAACAGGTAAAAGAAACTAAATTTCGTGCATTCACAATTGCAAAAAAACGTTTCAGGTTTCAACAGACAACAAAACTAACTGTCAACTAATTGACGTTTAACCTTCTCTGCTTTCAATTTCAAAAATATTTGCAGGCACAGCCTACTTCTAAAAATTATCGAGACACTAACTTTTTAACGTTATTTCATCATAAATAATTAAAAATGCATCGAACCTTAAAAATCGAAATGTCTCAAAAACGGCTAACTATAACGAACATTCACAACAGAGCTTTTTTATGTTGAAAAGTGCTAAGAATCAGTTTTTTTATTCAAAAAGCAAAAAATTGCGTTAAGAAAAAATTTTCGGTCATTTTAATACACTAAGGTACAGTAGAGAGCGCCCTCTAGCAGCTACAGTAAAACTATGCCCATGGTTCGTTTTGTCGTACCAAAAAACCCTTGTATAAAAATTTTCAATGTTATACATCAAATATTGTTTGAAATATTTAAAAAAAACTATTTTAGAAAGTAAATTTAAACTTAAATTTCGGAAGCCACGCATTTTTCGACCCATGTTTATATAGACTTTATGAATTAATTTTAAAAGTTCTATCGAATCTTAAAGTTATGCAACAATAAACTGAAACACCCTGTATATTATGAACATTTTTCATTGATGAAAGTCTTAAGTTGTCTATATCTACATGGTAAAACAGGTCCTTGGGGTTGCTTCACTTCATATTGTAACGTAATCACCGTTTTCGCTGTCAAGGTAAACTTTTCATTGGGATCCCCAATTCTTTCGCTGATTTTTGACTGCAAATAAATAATTTCATAATCTAGGATTGGTAATATACAAGATTTAATGGTTTCAAGTTTCGGAGGATCTTTACCCAATAAATAATTGGTTCAAGGTGATTCACGCCATTCCTCGCCTTTTTCAAGCAATAAATACGATAATCCAGTGTGGCTCAATAATGTTTAATTTTCTGTTATCAATTCAACTTTGTCGTCGGCAATTTTCTATATTTGTGAGTAAAACTGATTAGAATTCCCCTGATTTAGATCTTATGTCTCATTTTTCGTAGTAATCCATCTATGCTTCTCGCTCACTTCTACATACAAAAAGTGGTCTCAACAGCCAAATATTTTGCCCCAAGTTTTTGTGTTAGTTTCAATTCGCTAGTATGAGTTATGGATCAAATCCAAGGTTCAGATAGCAACATTAATTTAGGTTCCCCAGTCCTACTGCTCTCAAAAAAATCCTTCTACCACCACTGTCCACATGAGCAACGTTCACCTTTGTTCAATTTCCTACAAAACGAGTAGCAGATAGTGATCAAGCTGGTGTCTTAATAACGGAGCGAAACAAAGAAATGCTAATGGAAATAGAAAAAGCGAAAGATGGCACCACATCAGCCTGTGAAAAGCGGTCTTCGAACACCACCTCGAATATTCCTGCTTTATTAAAATTTTTTTATGAAAATACCATGATATCGATGTGGGAAAATGAATGCAATCTCTTTCCCACAGTAATATGTTAGAAATACTATATTGATGATGAAAAAGTATAAATTTAGTATGATTTGCGATATATTACAAATTATTGTCAGACTATAAGATTTATAAACCTCAATTCAGTGGCGTATACAGGGTGGCCAACGAATACGACGACAAACTTAAGGAGAAGGTAGTAAGTAGGCTTTGGACTGAACTCCCAAATAACAAAAACTTACATATATAAAAGTGTCACCGTCTTTGAGATATTAAATTTTTTCTTAAATTAAAAAAAAACGAACCTTTTCGTCTGTGGTCTTTAGCTGCATGTACAAATGAATTTTATACTTACCACACGTACTATTTGGAATAGAAAAAGTGATAGCTGCTTTTTTGAGTGACTGACACACACTACAATGTAATTATTGGATTTAAATTCAAGTTGCACTGGTTACCGATCACTGTCATGCTAAATAGTACAAAGCTACATTATTATCACTTGCTCCTGATATGATTTTATGAGAGTTGAAGAAACAATATCAGAAAGTTATAAATCCCAAAACAGTCCTTATTTTATCATGGATCCTTAATATCTTTTAACTACATTGCATTTGTATATGACAAAGCAACTATCTTGAAGTAGTCTATAGAAAAAATGAACAAAGTATAACCTTATTTGTACATGCAGCTAAAGACCACAGATGAAAACGTTCGTTTTTTTAAATGTAAGAAAAAAATCAATATCCAAAAACGGTGACACCTTTATATAGGTAAGTTTTTGTTATTTGGGAGGACAGTCCAAAGCCTACCTTCTTCTTAAGTTTGTCATGCTACTTATTGGACACCCTGTATAAGTAGGAGAGGCTTGGACACCGCCCCATGCCCCGAACGGTGCAACCGCTTTTTCATGATCTTATGTAACCTCATCTCTTTGTTAGTATGTTTGTGCGGTACAGACTTTAAAACTGAATTTTGGAGCCTGTTCACATATACGTTTTGGTCGCGTAACAATACAAAAATGAATAGAGCGCCGCCATTTTGTGATCCAGTATGGCGGCTACATAATGGCGATTTATCATTTCCATTACTATGAGGTTACCCTCTATGATATGATTATCAAATGGAAGTGCTTGATGAGAGAAATACTAGCGTACCCAACTTATTACGACATTCTAAACCCAGTATGGTGGTCGTGGCTAAATGACGATTTATACGTTATGCAGTTTTAACCTGTTAACCCTGGCCAATTCAACTGATTTTTTATATATGCGTTTGGTTCCTATGACAACACAAAATAAATCAAATGCCGTAATTCTCAATCCAATATGACGCATGTACGGAATGACAAAATATCATTTTAATAATAACACCTGTAATATAAGTATCAAATTGAAGGGCTTGATGAGTTGAATACTATCAGCACGGCGAAGGTATTCTATATTCAATATGCCGGACGCTTCAAATTCTCGATTTACCCATCCTTCATTTTTGAAGTAGTTAAACCTGACTAACTGAGCTGAAACTTAATCTATTACAATTGAATGTCCCCATTTTGAATCAAATATAACTGATGCTTCAACATGGCGATTTATCATTTCAGTAATAACACCTGTAATATGGGTATCCAATGACAGGATCTCATGAATTACTTCTATCAGCAAGGTGACGTTATTCTAAATCAAATAAGACTCAAATTGGCTATATATCCGAACATATAATGTTATATAGATGTACCATAAACTGTCCGATGAAATAGCATAATAGCAATAGCATTTATCTGCAACCTGTCTATGAGGAGGAAAGCTCCAAAATCAAACCGTGACTAAGCGGCAGATCAGGCGACTTGCTTGAACTAACTGTTACCAAAATAAAATACTGGTTTTGAGTAATAATAATACTTCCGATCTTATTTTGTATCTTTAACGGAATCAGTAAATTGACAGCTACCTTACTTGCTTGGGAAATTTGGTTACTTTGCTATTGGCGTCACATACAGATAAGCGAACAAAAAGCTACTAAAAACTGTTCAATAGGAATATCTCCAGGTGGAATGAATATAGCTGTCTCGTCTTTAGACGACTAGTTAGGAAATAACCCAGAGGCTTGCGTCTGGAAATCTTAAATCAGATGTTCCCTGATCTAGCTAAGAACATTTGAGAAAATTCGCCAGTGAATGACGAAGATTTTTTGTATTCCAGATGCAGATATCTAGTTACTTCAAAAGTAACTGAAGATTATGGACCTTAAATGTAACTGTTATTATTAAAAAAATATTATTTTGCGAACACTCCACTCGCCCTACATAACGTATGTCCTAAAAGTTAATTGGCTATTTTATTTTTATTGTATATATAATTACCCAACAGAACTATTCCAATTAGAGGACAATATAATGGTATCTTTACTTATAATACATACATATAATGTATACATAAAACTAACTTAAAAAACAGAATTAGCTATTACCTGAAATTCGACAAGATCTTACTGATACAATCAAAATTATTGTCAGAACTGTCTGCTATGGAATTATAATTGTTGCATATAGAATGTTGCGGAGAATAAAATAATACATTGGTACGGGAGATACTGCAGTAGAAAGTCAGAGTTCTTCTCGTATTTAACCGTGGTATACAGAAATTTAACCTCTGGAGAAGTTCTGGTGCATACACTGTGTCGTGCAAAAGCAATGACATGCCAGCAGTAGAACGTCTTAACTGTAGAGACTCTACTTCAAAACGACGCAGCAGAACAGATTGAGAGACCCCCCTTTCTGGATATGTGCCATCGATTCTATAAACACAGTATTTAAGAAAGCTTCTTTGTACATTTTCTAAGATGTTTATTTAATACGCATAGAAATGGTTCCATATCAAAGAAGCATACTCAAGTTTTGGTCGCATCAGTGAAATAAAACGAGCTTTTAGTGCCGCTTCGTAGGAAAAACATCGGCAATTACACATTATGAAACCCAGAATCCGTGTCGCTTCGGAAGTGACGCGTACTACATCGACAGAAAAGTCCAATCTACAGGAAAATGTTACACCAAGATCTTTAGTCTCTGTTGTTATCTCCAAAACCGCATTATTTATGGAGTAATCAAACATAATCGGGTTCATTTTACGACAATATGAACATACTTTGCATTTGGAAATATTTAAGAAGAGAATATAATTGTCGCTGCACTGTGTGATGGTATGCAAATCGTCCGGAAGGGAAATACAGCTCTCCAAATTTGTAACTTTGGTGTAGATTTTCAGATCATCAGCAAATAGTAGAGATTCACACTTTAGTGAAGCGGCTAGGTTATTTATGAAGAATAAAAGCAGCAAGAGACCTAGGTTTGAACCTTGCGGTATTCCAGAGGGATTAGCATAATTAGCTGAAGAATAACCATTGCGTCCTATTAGAAAGATATGAGCTTAGAAGACCGACTAACGAGTCACGAAGGCCGAAATAATGAAGGCTATGGACAAGAAAATGATGGTTTAATTTGTCGAAAGCCTTGATGAAATCCATGTAAATAACATCGACTTGTTGTTTATTGTCCAACGATTCTGCTATATACTTCGTAATTGTCATTAAATTTGACGTGGTGGATCTACCTTTGATGAAACCATGCTCTGAACGTGTAATTAGGCTCTCAGCGTTCTCGAAGATAAAAGAGTAAATGGACATTTCAAAAGCCTTTACAAAGTTGTTCAAAATGCTTATAGCTCTATAGTTGAGTATGTCAGATTTATCACCATCTTTCAGGACCGGACACACCTTTGCTATCTTCCAAACACAAGGAAACATTCCACTTTTTAATATAGCATTGAAAATTATCAGCATCGGCTTGACGAAAATACGAACACAATCTTCAATAATAAAACTAGGTATTTGATCTCTACCAGACGTAAGTTTATCTTGAAGTTTAGAGACACACTTCAGTACGTCAGGTTCCGTTAATTCCTCTAGATAAATACATGGTGTTGAGGTGACGTTATCTAAAGAAGAGGGAATATTTCGAGGAGTCACATACACACACCTTGTGGAGTATCAAATACGTTGCCATTGAACTGGACTTGGCCTGGTAATCTGCTAGTCTCTCTTATGATGTATGACCAGAACTTCTTCGGGTCGTTGATTATACTGTCCTCCACCGACAACAAGTACGCACTGTAAGCAACTTTAATTTGCCCGTTTATGATTCCGCGCAATCTAGAAAATTCATTGTAATAGTAAACATTGCTTGTTCTCTTATATTTTCTGTAGTAGTAATCCTTCAAATTTATGTTACTCATAATTAATCCAGTATACCAAGGAGGATACCTGAATTTGCAGGTATTGGTATACTTAGGAACATAAATATCAAATATTAAAAAAAATTTAGCATAAAATGTATCGCATAGTTCATTAACATCTGTAATTTTACGTAAAAAGGACCATTCAGTATAACTCAAAACATTATGTAAGTCAACATAGGATGCCTTCTTGAAGTTATAAATCAATGAGGTAGGATCAGTATTTGGGAACAACTTAGACTAGACAGCTGTATGGTAAATAGGATACTTAAAGGTGGACGGTGAGGATCTACTTGGTTAACAAAAGAAATAGCTTCCCTTGAAATAATACATGGTACATTTTCAGTGCTTATAAATAAATCCAGCAATCGTCCCAGCGCGTTTAATATTAGGTAAGATTGGATGGTGTTGGTAAGATCTAAAAAATCAGATAGCGTTGTACAACGAAAATCTGCATGGAGACTAAATACGAAACCGGGAGCATTAAAATTGCAAGTATCAAAATGTTGGGCCGATTGATTATTAACGTACTCATGTGTGAAAAAAAACTTTCGTAAGTGTCATTAGAAGTGTCTGGTGGAATATAAATAACATAAACAAACAGAGTGAGTGGTAGCTTGCACTTAATCGCAACTATGTCAATGGAAGAATAATCACTAGAAAAATATAAAAAAAGATCCTCTGCCATAAAACTAGTTTTACATGCCAACAATACACCCCCACCAGGCAATTTATTTGTTTTTACAAAATCACAGTCACTACGAAACACACTGTAGTTTCCAGGAGTCACGTACTTTGTCGGAAAGCCAAGCTTCTGTTAAACCAATTAGATAATATTCATCCAAGGTTGCCGATGAAAATAAATCATCAATTTTGGAATTCAAGCCCCTAAGATTCTGATAATATGCTCGGAATTCGGCGCTGCTGGGTCTATTAATTTTAACAAACACACAATAATATCAAGTTACCTTTGGAAACAAAAGTTTGTTTACTTATTTTACTGCCAGTTGATATTTATTTATTTTGAAGTTTTCGCTTTAAAATGTCCTATAGATTAGAAATAAGAAAGTATCTACAAGTTGGTTGGGCGGGTACCCAAAGCTAAAATCTGTCAAGTACTTCAGAATGAAAACATTTCACGCAGAACCCTTTATTGAACAAAAGCGGAGTGCTTGCAGGGAATACCATGTCTGAATCTCCCAAAAAGTGGAAGATCACGAGCATTCACTGTACAAAGGTCAGAGAGATTGGTAAGAAGAGAAAAAAATTAGATTGGAATATCAACAAGGAGACTGCCTCGTCAATACAGATTTTCTAAGAGTACGATATCGGTCGAATTGAAGAGGAATGGTCTTAAATATCGAAAGAAACCTAAGAGCCCCAAGAGGAATGCACTGACAATGTTAGATACAAACATAAAGTGAAATTTGCAGATAAAATTCTTCTCTTGTGCGCAATTTCTAACAGGGGTGTATCCCAACCCTTTGTGGGAAGAATGAGGGGTGAAGCTTTGAACAGTCAGAGGTTGCCTTTCCAAATTGGTTCAGTTTGCCCATGAACATCATACTAATGACCGTATCAAGTTTTGACCAGACCTAGAATCATACCATTACTCAAGGAATACTCAAAACTGGTTTCGACAACACAACATACCTTTTGTTAACAAAAGCAATAATCCCTCAAACTTGCCGCCGGATCGCTCAATAGAGGATTTTTTGGCTTTACTGTCTAAGAAGGTTTATCATGGAGGCTGTGAAGCCCAAGATGAAGAGCAATTAAGACGACGACTTTACGAAAAGCTGAGAAAAATTGATCTGAATTCTGTCCAGGATCTCAGACATTCGAAGACAGCTGCGGCTGGTAGAGCAGAATCGGCCACTCCACATAATTCGATACTATAAACTATACTAAGTATTGAGTTGTAATTTATGATAACTAATTAGTATTTAAATAAATTTCTTCATTAAAAAAAATCCAATAGATATTTTGTACCAAAACTTTTAGGACATACGTTATTTAAAACGCAGATACTTTCAGAAAATTGTGGACAAGGCGGCTCTAGAATAATCCAAGTATTCCCTTGAATTTTTCTTCCTGCTTAAGAAACACCCTGTATGAAGTTTTCCTGTTACTTTTCGTTACGCTTCCTGTTCTTTACAGCCACGGCCCCTTATAGGCGTATTCTTGAAGAATCCCAAACTTTCGTG